GCGGGACCCGTGTCCCCGCCCCACCCTCCCGCCTCCCACCCGCGGTCTCTCCGAGAGGCGTGTCGGGGCTCCGGGACTCCGGAGATATGTGGGTTGGGAGGTCAGGGCCGGAGGCGGAGAGGTGGAGCCGAGAGGCCCGAGTCCCCGGGGTTGGAGCCGAACCGAGGGTAAAAGCGATCAAAGCAGGAGCAGGAGGCGAAGGTCCCGCTTCCACCTTCCTCTCCTTGTTCGGTTCCCAGAATCCCTAAAGCCATTTTCCAAGAAGCTTAGCCAGCGGCCCCTCTCCACCTCTAGGTGTCCAGGGTCTGTGTTCGAGGCGGCCTGCGATGATGTCACCAGTGCACGTGCCCCGGAATTGTTGCCAGGCAATGAGGCCGCCTCCCCTCTCCATCCCGGCCCCCCACCTCTGCCCCAATTTCAGATCCAGCCCCGTGCCATCTTTTCCCCCTTTCCCTTCCCTGGGCCTTAGCATCCAGCAGGTGGGAAACCCTGGCCTGGAGTTTGTAAGGGGGAGGGCACGGCGGTGGTGTGGTGCAAAGCCCCTTGGCTGGGCTAAGAGAAGTCTCGGTCCCTTTCCCCTCGGTGGGCACAGGCGAGCTTTCCCTCCCGGCCCCCTCCTCTCCCGGAGGAGCCTCCCAGATGCCTTTTTAGTTTCTATCTCCTGCATCGCCCAGTGTCCTGTTGCTCAGCGTTCATTTTGTGTTGGAAGTGTGAGTAGTGGCAGGACAGCTGCCCCCAGGAGGAGAGCTGTGTGTGGTCTGAGGATTCACTTGACACCAGCTCATCTCTGACCTTAATCAATGGCACCCCCACCTCCACCCTCAACTGTGAGGAGAAGGGCCAAGAAATAGTACTAGATTGAAAGGTCAGTGTGTTTATCATGTGTAAGTGGGTGGGGCTTTCTCTTAAGGGAGGAGGACTCCGTTGATAGCTATGGCTGCCCTTGTCTGTGAAGTCCTGGGGTTGGTTACAGTCCAGGAAAAAAATTGGTTTCTCTTTTTATATACCTTGAAGCTTGGGCTGTCAGACCAGACTTCATTCCATTCCCAGCTCTGCCACTTCGTGGCTATAGGAACTTGGGAAGGTCACAACATCTCTGAGCTTCATATTCTTAATCTAGAAAATTTAGATATCAATAGAGTACCTTCCTTCTAGGCAGTTGGGAGGATGAAAAAATGAGAGAATTTACGCATAGCATTTAGCACAGTGCCTGGCACAAAATGAACACTGAACGAATGCTTGTTATGAAATGCTTATTGCTAAATGGGGTGAGTTATTATTTTTCTTATTAAAGTTGGTAGGCCTGCTTTAAACTGGCCAGTACCTCAGGAGTCCTTCAGGGAGAGGTGGAGAGTTGGTGTTCATTTGGTGGTGGTGGTGGTGGTGGTGGGGAGGAGACTGGGGATTAGCGTCCACTGCTTTGTGCACTTTATTTGATGAAGGCTTTAGTCAGATTTGTTTTGCTTTCTTTAGGTTTATTTTTCCTCCTCTTGGAGAAGAAACAGCTAAGACGATTCCTCTGTCTGTGAAAATAAAATAATTGTATTGTGGTTCTTGACTTTTAAGCAAGACCCCAGTCCCCTCCCTATGTTGTTCTCTGGAGCCTTTCAATTTGCAAAGGAACTCCACAGTTTCCTTTTCGGGGACAGGGCTAGGCTGAGGGGTGTGTAAAATGTTGGGGTGGGTGAGTGGAGAGAGACTAGTGCTGGGGGCTGGGGGCGGGCGGGTAG